ATGCGTCTGTCCTGTTATTGATCATGAATCAGTTCGTCATAACATTGTCAAAGTAGCTGTGGATCCACGAGGCGAAGCCGAGTGGATCCGCAGACTACTTTGACAATGTTATGATGAACTGATTCATGATCAATAACAGGACAGACGCATTCAAAACGGGGCCGGCTATTCATAGAGTTATTTTTGTAGAGTTAGTTAGGGCCTCCACAGACTAGAGAGATTGTTGTCGACAACTATTTAGTTGTCGATCATAAAACGTTGTCGATAACAAAAAAGCCAGTGTGTGAAGCTAGTTATCGATAACTAGCTTCACACACTGGCTTTTTTGTTATCGACAACGTTTTATGATCGACAACTAAATAGTTGTCGACAACTATCTCTCTAGTCTGTGGAGGCCCTTAGGGCGAGGAGTTAGAGTTAAGCCAAAATCCTGAATTCAAGATTTTGGAACGCCAAAATCCTGAATTCAAGATTTCAGTTCGTAACCTTAGATTTAGTTTGCTTCAAGTGCGTTTCTAACGCGCCGGGCAATAAGCTTATTTATTATATGGCAAACTGGTCCACGACGAAAAGGAGCATTCTGATTGGTTCCCTGAGCGGTCCGAATTTTGCAATACGGACCGCTAAGATGGACCGCTCACGAACTCATTTCGCCGAATTCCTTTTATGAAACATTGAACAAAAGAAAACTGTTTTCTATTAAGTAGAAACATTTTTCCTCATGTCTGGCGGACAATTTTGGTTAAACTTTCGCAAAGTGGCCTGAAAAATGCAAGAATATGCTTAGCTTTGGCGCGCGCGCGTTAGCCGAAAATGGCTGCATTATTTTGTCAGCAAGTTTTTAAAAAGCTATTATAATAAAAACTTTATTGAACTAGCTTGTTCGGTCCGTATTTAGACTGTTCACAGCCTCTCTATTTTCCCAATACGGACCTCACGCTAGTTCAATAAATAAACAATCACTGCGTAAAATAACGCGTGTCGTGGTCCTGAAATTACACGATACGGACCCGTATTCTTCGAGAATACGGACAAATCCGGTGATATCGTGCTCCAGACACGCGACGTGTCCACCGCGTGTCAGGACCCGTATTTTCCCCGAATCGGACTTTTTCCGTGGCATGGAAAATCCGATGTCCGGGTACGTCATTGAAACTCGGCGTGTCAAGGCCCGGAAATTTTCTTATTCTTCCGGATTTGCCGAGAATGAGGGCGTACCGTAGAACGACCACAGTCGATCAAGTTGCGCATTTCGCATCTCATCCTTACAAAATTATTATTTGCTTTTCTTTAAATGATCGTCATCGACGGAATTCCACGGTACGAGACGTGTCACTCAGGATTCCTGTCCCAGATATTCCACGGTACGTCACGTACCAAAGAATTTCAGTGGACTGAAATTCCACGGTACGTCATGTGCCAAGCAATTTTTTACCCGAATTTTCATAGAACGCTAAAAGGCACCAGCGTCTCCTGTTTCTACAGCAATTCCTTGTATCCTGATCCCTTTCCCGACCACCGATTTATAAACGCGTCTTTGCATAATGAAGAACAACATTTGCTTTTGAATATAACACCTTTTATTGAACAGTCATGATTGTAAAACTACAGTCGTGTACGGCAAAATGCCTTATCCTTATGATAATATCATTTTCAAAAACTTTGCCTCAAGTTCAATAAGTAATGTCAAGCTGTTCACATCATTTACTGAATGCTAGCAAGAAAGTATATTGATCACATCACATGTCTCCAGTGCATTTCAAATTCTTGCTGTCGCTGCAGTTCCTCAATAACAATACATTTAATAATATTGTGGTCTTTTCTTGGACAATTGTCACATCAGCCATCAGCATGCCTATCAAAGAAAAAGAAGAAAACACAATTTCAGCGAAAAATAAAGTAAAAAGCACTGAATTAGTGCAACTGGGGCAATATGCCTTGAAGGGTGTGGAGAAAAAATGTTTCCAGGAATAGTCAGTGGTCAATAGAAATACTCAACAGTACAGAAATGTAATGTAAATGGTCTGAACCCTGGGGTCTCAGTACATTGTACTTTCTTGTTTAATGCTATCACCCAGGGCGCGAGGGTGGTTTGGTGAGAGTAGTCGTAAGTACTGAAAAGGATTGTTGTCGATGATGATATTTCACCAGGTGAGGACATGGACCCCCCTTTTGGACCGGGTCCATGTATCATTTCAGTACACTGTATGGACCTTGTCCATGGAACCCCTATTATTGAAATTGAAATCAATAATAATCAATAAAAAGTAACTACTGTTGAAGCTCTTGTTGCAACCACTCTTGTAAGCGACCAAGCCCTGTTGAGGTTTCCACTACTAACAGAAGACAAGGCCAAACAGTGATTTCCAGAGTTCTTGACACTTGAAGCAAAAAAATTCACCTAATTCATTCAATACACCCTTGTTCAAACTGCCATTGGACACATGAGCTTGGTAGGGAAATCCAGCAACCAGTTTAAAAAAAAAATTAGCTTTGCCAAGTAGACAGGGTAACCACAACAGCTTGCGCCAATTACTGTGTACCCATAAACCGGTCCCCAGTCCATTTAATACGCGTGAACAGGCCAGACCACAACACCAGGAACTATGCCCCCTACTCTTTTCGAATAGTGGTGTGGGTACTTTGACATCCCCTACTAATTTAGTATGAGAAGGTGTTTAAGGCCAATGGCTTGACGTCACTGCCCAATGACGCAATCATCTGGACTGAGACAAGGTATTAGCACAGCCAGCATGATCTTACTAGTAACTAGTTATTTTAAGACCCTGGTTTGTGGTCCGGTGCCCAAGCAAATGAGCTAACCAGGCGACAACAAGCAAGCCCATCTGCTCCCAGGGTCCCCTCAAATTCAAATTGAGGGGACCCCGGGAACATGCATGTACATTTGTAGGGGATTGCTTGTTGGCAACTGGTTGTTGGATATGGTTGCCGAAATGTAGCAAAATTCGATAAAAATATATTTCCATTCGATAAAATATATTTCCATTCGATAAAATATATTTCCATTCGATAAAATATATTTTCATTTCATAAAATATATTTTCATTCAATAAAATATATTTCCATTCGATAAAATATATTTCCATTCGATAAAATATATTTTCATTCCATAAAATATATTTTCATTCGATAAAATATATTTTCATTCGATAAAATACATTTTCATTCGATAAAATGTATTTCCATTCGATAAAAATATATTTTATCGAATGAAAATATATTTTATCGAATGAAAATATATTTTTATCGAATGGAAATATATTTTATCGAATGAAAATATATTTTATCGAATGAAAATATATTTTATCGAATGAAAATATATTTTTATCGAATGGAAATATATTTTATCGAATGAAAATATATTTTATCGAATGAAAATATATTTTATCGAATGGAAATATATTTTATTGAATGGAAATATATTTTTATCGAATTTTGCTACATTTCGGCAACCATAGTTGGATACCCCAGCGAGGCACAGTTGTCCATCGCAGTTTGAACAAGGGCATTTTGAATTTCTGAGCGCTTGGGTTACCTGTACTGTGACCACACAAACAGAAGATGGTAAGGCTGCATTCTTAGTTGTGGAAATCTCAAACAACGTACAAATATCTCACCAAAAATCACCTCAAACTGGCCAGAGCAGTGGACAAACAACAAAAATACAACATAGCAACAGGATGAGTCAATTTCATTCACAAACGTTTGGATTTATACCGCCTAAAATTAAACCGTTATATTCCCATACAAACCCTTATAAATCGAGTAAGCTTATAAATAACTTTAATACTTAAGTTATATTTTGTATATAAAACACCGCGCATAAAAGCAAGAATCACGTTCGTGTTCTCTTAGAAAAACGCAAAGAAGTCAAAGAAGTATCCTATGATTGATCTACAGAGGTCAGGTCAACATATTAGATAACAACTAAGAAGACTCACTCACCGGTTTTATAGCGACGGGGACTGAATCGAAGTCATGGATTTAGACACAGGAATGTTGATCGCACATCAGAGTGATCTCGCTCTCCTTCTTGTTCTCCAGCTCAGGACGAGTTTTCGATTAACTAACTCATCAATAACAGGAAGAAAAGACTCCAAGTCGACCAAAGTTGGTCGCAACCTCGTCCCCAGGGCCTTCTCTCCTTTTTTTTCAAGATGGCGTCTGATGGAGCGAAGACCCTGGCAAAGGCTGGGTCACGTGGTACAAATACTCCAAGATTCTTGGAGTATTTTATCACGTGACTTTGTTGTGGAGCTGAAACAAAATGGCGGCCAAAGCCGAGTGTCCCAGATTACGTGGACCGCGTTTTACGGCGTATCTTTGTAGACGAGGAAACAATACTTCATTTGGAAGACTAATTTATTGTTTGGAAGCTCTTCCGCCTCTTCGGAAGCATAACGCGTGGTCAAAGACTCTGGAAACACTACGGTAACACCGCACATCAGGCACATTTTAGCTTTTAATTTTTACGCTGTTAGTGATTGATTTACACATAAACTATCGGCTGTATAAACTGTACACTGCGACTTGTTTTCGTTCTACAACTCACCCTTTCATTTCAGCTTGAGTTTAAAGTTCTGATTTGAGCAGTTTGTCGTTGGAGGACTTGGAGAGATAAAAATCTCCTGTTTAGACCTTCATACATTTACACCCGTATATTTAATAATGAGCTTATCTAAACAATTTCCCGTAATAATAATTTATCTTATGTAATACAAAATTGGTAATTTGTGACTGCATCCACATCTACATCTGGTTTGTCACTATTTATTTCAAATTAAAAGTTCAACCTTAAATTGAAGTATAATATTTGCTACAATACATTGTATATGACAGAGTATTTTCTTTCAAAACAGGTCATTACTTAGTTATTCTGTCAGTGACACAAGCTACTCTGTAAACAAATTCTCAGTTCCCCCAACAGGAGTTGAAGCTATGACCTTCCGCACACCGGTCGGATGCCTAACTCCCACGAGCCTCCCATAGTTCAGTGGTAGAGTGTCCAACCGGTGTGCGGAAGTTTATAGGTTTGATTCCTGTTGGGGAACTCGGAATTTTTTTCCGAGTAGCTTGTGTCACTCACAGAATAATATCTCATCAATTTATTAGATGTTCAAAGTATAAAAATTAAAGGAAAATGGTGTATATACAAAGATGTACATTAAAAGGTGTTACATTTTATTTGCCAACCTGTCACCAATTACAGCACATGTTTTGGCTTTAAATAGAGATTGATTTCACTTTTGTTCTTTACACTGAATGACTGATCCTTTGTTACACTGAATGACTGATCCTGTATCTTGTTCTTACGCAGAATGACTGATCCTTTGTTTTGTTCTTATAAGATTATGGAGAGTAATCTGGGCTCCCCTGCACCCCAAAAAGTAAGAACAGCTTCTCCATCTCAACATAATAAAATCATGGAGATGCTAAAAAGATACCGCTTTTCTCAGAAGGTTTGGCGGCATTGATAGTCTTGATATAACAACGGGTTTCACTTTAAAACTAATGGTGTTGGAATGTTAGTGGTTGACCTCTGGTGGGCATATCTCTTCTTGCTTACCAGTATGCGGAGGTCATCATGCAACAGTAAAATCCTGGCTTTAAGCCCCTCTCTACTGTTCCTCATTTCCTTACTATGTCCTCACAGAAATTGTTCAACTTTAGACCATATTAATTTTCTTTATTCTGTTTTGTTATGTTCCAGTTGCATTGATGTACTGACTTGAAATTTGTTTTTAAAACATATCTTGATATAATAATTTGCTGCATCAACTTGTTTATTCTGCCTATAAGCGCCCCCCCCCCCCCCCCCCCCCATTTATAAGCCCACCTAAGACCCCTTACGAAGTTGAATAAGCCCAGGGCTTATGACCAGGATTTTGTAGTATGTGTGGAATTTTAGCAAAATATTGTGTTTCATTAGTGGTGAGAAATTTGTAATAATAATAATTATAAATTGCTTTTATAAATATAATTATAATTATTATAATGTAATTATTACATTATCTTTCATTTGACTGTTGGGTGGGGAAGAGACTTTGAGATCAAAATGAAAGCAAGCAGGACAGAAAACCAACACAAGCAATAGTGCATCTTTATTTTAAACTACAGAGGTGAATACAATGAATTCAAGTAACATTTTCTGCATAAAAGAAAAAAAGAATGAAAACAATAATAATTGTGTCGTGAACATATTTGGTACATAAATTTATTGTTGTAAAAATCAAATTATGGGGCCAACTATTAAGCGGCTACCCCCTATTAAACGGCCAGTTATCAAAGTCGCAAAACTGTTGTCAGTATAATACTGTAAATAAAACCCCTATTAAGGGGCCACCTCTGTTACGTGGCTGTGGCCACCTTTTGGCCCATACCACTGAGGGTTCTCTATTCAGTGGCCTCCAAAATTTTATACATGTAGTTTGGCTTTGTTTTGTAAAAGCTGATGACAGATAAGAGTCCGAAATAGAAAGTGATGACTGATAAAAACATTCAAACACACAGTTGTCACAAGCCTCCAAGCGTGTTTGTATTCGAACAAAGTGATGTTTCTACCAAGCCTTACGCTAATTTCTGACAAAACCCTATTAAGCGGCCGACCCACTTGCCATTTCCCCGAGGGTGGCTGCTTAATAGGGGTTCGAAAAAATATACATATAATAAGGATTTGAGATAATAAGGAGAAGGATTTGAGTCTACAATCCTTACACATAAAAATATACAAATCAGTGTAGGCTTTCCATAATAGTTTTGACTGTCCCCTTCCCTAGCTGAGTGATAAGATGGCGATAAAAGAAAATTTACCAATAGGAAAACAATAATTATTATCTAGAGGAAACGGTATCCTCAGATCTTTCTCCCCATGGGATTACATGTCAGGTTAATTTTTTTTTCATCCACTACATTCAAAAACACTACATTTAAAAAAAATGTTATTTTTATGGACTATGAAACATCAAAAAATATAAATCATCTATTTTCTTGTGCACTACTTGAATATGATTTGAAATAAACTCCCATTCATAAGCTAATGGCTCTGTCAGAAATATGTAAGCTTAAGCTTAAGCTTATAGACAATTACGATCGAACTCTCCTTTTTGATTTCTACGAAGAACAATCTCAGACGGTGACATAGCTACGACCCCTTCGTCTTTTCTGGGAAGATCGAAGGTACGGGTGCGTACAAATGCTTTAAAGATTTATATTTAGCTTACATAAGACCGATAGTTCCCGGGATAGCTAGTTTTATACGTGCGGTGGTGTTACAGTTACCGTAGTGTTTCCAGAGTCTTTGACCACGCGTTATGCTTTCGAAGAGGCGGAAGAGCTTCCAAACAATAAATTAGTCTTCCAAATGAAGTATTGTTTCCCCGTCTACAAAGATACGCCGTAAAAAGCGGTCCACGTAATCTGGGACACTCAGCTTTGGCCGCCATTTTGTTTCAGCTCCACAACAAAGTCACGTGATAAAATACTCCAAGAATCTTGGAGTATTTGTACCACGTGACCCAGCCTTTGCCAGGGTCTTCGCTCCATCAGACGCCATCTTGAAAAAAAGGAGAGAAGGCCCTGGGGACGAGGTTGAGTTGGTCGTTGAAATAGAAAACTTCGTCACCTTTCAAAATGGACGCGGGGAAAGCGTCTTCTCATGCGTTTAACCGCTGACCGTCAACAGCGGCGACTAATAGGGCCCAGTCTCTGAGAGGCGCGCGATAAGTCGGCATGGCACTGAAATAGGCGGTGTAACCTGTAGCATTGAATTGTGCTGTAAATTATACATATAATTTATGAAGCTGCTTTCTCAGGAACAGATTACAGTGTCTCCTTTTCACTCTAGTGTAGGCCGCGAGAGCAAACGTCGAATATTTTCCTTATAGACCTCATACAGCCCTTATACATAATTTCTTTATACGTCAATCCAATATAGCTCCCCGCCGGACTACTTGTACGGATTCAATTTTTTTTTCTTTACGGACATACATTACGCGATAAGTAAACGAGCGTAAAGATACGTATAGACTACCTTTACGCGATACGTAAACGAGCGTAAAGATGCGTATAGACTACCTTTACGCGATACGTAAACGAGCGTAAAGATGCGTATAGACTACCTTTACGCGATACGTAAACGAGCGTAAAGATGCGTAAAGACTACCTTTACGCGATACGTAAACGAACGTAAAGATGCGTATAGACTACCTTTACGCGATACGTAAACGAGCGTAAAGATGCGTATAGAATACCTTTACGTAAACGAACGTAAAGATGCGTATAGAATACCTTTACGTGGTACGTAAACGAGCGTAAAGATACATCTAGAATCAAATACCTTTATACGATACTTAAAAAAGTGTAAAGATAGTTATAGTTACTCTTTACGCGATACATAACTGCAACATAAAGCAGGTACAGTCCATTCTGACTGATACGTAAATAGTGAACGTGAATAAAAAATTTTCGCTCATGCGCCATGTTCACCGTCTATGATTTTAATACGTCCTTCAATTCAACTTTCGCTCATTGACACTTTTAGTAGTTTGGCTGATTCATATATAATTAGTGGCCGTGCCGTTAAGTACCAGAGATCTGAAATCCCTTGACACGCCGCAATCCGCGTACCAGGGCCATGATTTGTCCTGACACGCCGCGACTGACGTGTCGTTAACATGACACTCTACGACACGCCGCGTATCCTGACACGTCGCGTTCGGATCTAGGATTCGTCGAGTGTCATGAAATATCAGGGCCCCGTAAATTCAACGAAATTACTCATTTCACGCAGTGAATAGCCTCCATTTGGCTTCAAAAATATGCTCGGATATTTGTCCTTGGACATTATCTGTTCCTCGAAGCGAACAGATAATGTCCAAGGACAAATATCCGAGCATATTTTTGAAGCCAAATGGAGGCTATTGTAGTTATTATCCTTCAAATATTTTTTCACAAGTCCGCCCTGTTTGCCGTGGAAGATCTCGGTCGGCCAAGCTGTTAAACATCAAAATAATTCTGTTGGCGTTCAAAAATATTTCTAGTCTGTTCAAAACAATCAGTTTTATTTAATTTAGCAATTTATTTGAGACGAAAACTGAACCTGCGAACGTGAAACGCAAATTTTCAAAACTGGGGAATATCACTTGGGGAATATCACCCGGATATTCCCCAGTTTTGGCTGCGTCACGTGACGTGTTTAGACCAATCGCGCGCGAGAAAAAATTTTGATGGATTATAATGGTCTATATACAGTAATAAAGCGATTTTTCATATGTTTGTTTTAGATTGTGGTTGTGCGTCGCTTCCCACGTTTGTATTGCTTTCTGGTTTGATGGGTTATAACATCTATTATGTTTAATTATGAGGAAGATTTTCAGTCATAGTATAATCAAAGGCACTATGTGCCAACTCGTGAATGGAAAAGTAAATAAATTAATTAACATAGAAATATGCAGTAGTACCGGGTAAATGTAGAACCGGGTAAATGTTAGTTGACCGTCTCGTCCTCTATGTTTTTGAGAATCGAGTTTCAAGTTTTGAGTCTGACTCGAATAGGGATTTCGAGGAAACGATTTATTTCTCGAAACAGAACAATAGATTCCGCGCGGCATTCACGCAAGCCGGTGTATTTCGTATTCACTCCAAATCAGTGTTGGTCGGGAGGGAAACTCAAATGAAAAGTCTTTAATCACTGATATTCGATAATCGCCAACTTTATGGGCCGAATATTTTTAAAAACAAGGTTTACACAGGGTTTAACAAAACCATGGCCTAATACGATTTCAAACTGACTGGCCAACCTAACTATATTAGCCGTACAGTAAACCCCGTTTATAATTAGAAGGTGTATATAAACACAGACTAAAAAAACATTTAGCGACTTTAATAGACTGACCTGCTTATAAGTTTATTTAGACCTCATTGACTAACTTTTTAGACGTCGTTTAAATATTCGGCCAATATGTTCGAACTGGTTTGAGTTTTATTTTAAAGCAAGTTGCTGTTCGTGAAATAAAATATTTCAATCATTTCAAAACATTCTGATCTTGTTTGTGTAGT